GGGCCGGGGGTGCACGCTGCCTGGCCTGGCAGGGCCTGACCGGACGGCCCGCCGGCGGCCAGGACAGAGGGGGCACAGCCCGAGGGCAGGGTGAAGAGGCGGGACCCGGCGTGGAGGAACGAGCGTGGGGACGGGGGCCGGGGGACAGGGGGACGGGGGCTGGGGGACAGGGGGAGAGCCCAAGCCTGACAACAGTGGACGGCGGGCGAGGGGGGCCTCCCCACTGATGCGCGGGGCGGGGTGGGCGGCCAGGGAGCAGGGAGGGAGCCCCTGGAACTCGCTGAGAGAATGCCACGCCCCACCCCACCCCCGTGTCTGAGGCCCACGCTGACAGAGGTGCGATTATTCCAGAAGCCTTCCGGGTGGTTCCGGCTCCCGCAGGCACCGAGTCAAGGCGACCACCGAGGCCGGCGGGGCCCTCTCCAGCCTGGCCCCACCCTGGGCCGCAGGCTCCCGCTCGCCGTGCCCACAGGCCCCCTGACGGAACGCCCCCGGAGGCCCCCTCCCGCACGTGCGCCCTCGGGGGTCTCAGTCCCTCGCCTCACACCACACTCGGAGTCCAGGGCCCAGCTCACGCCCGGACCCGAGGACACATGGACAGCACACGCAGCCCACACACCTCTGTGCCCCCGAGGCCAGAGATCCAGGTTTCTCCCTCCTTCCCCACCTCCCTCCCCAAATCAATAAACACATCCTCTGGAAAGAATAATGGAAATAATAATAAAGCAACCTGCAGGAGAAGAACTGATATGCTTGTCCTCTGTTTTGGCTCAGCAGAGTTACTGCTTGTGTAAATACTTTTTACAGCAGACAATACCCTAAAAACATCCTACATTTGACCCTCCTGGAAGGAAAGCGAGACTGACAACGCTCCGAGTAGGGCCGGAAGTGACGGGGAGACCAGCACGCAGGCGCCAGAAGCTGGGCGGGGGCGGGGGGGAGCGGGCCGTGATGACGAGCTCTGTCCACCCGCCCCCACGAGACGGCAGGAGGGACGGGCAACCTGAACAGCGCGCCCCAGCGCGTCCGTGAGCGTCGGCTTCCCCTTTCAGGGTCAAGTGGAAAACAGTGCTCGCCTCACGGCCACATACACAGATTCAACACCACAGAGAAGTACTGACCCTTTAATAAAAAAACGCGTGCGGTGGTAACAGCTTAGCCAAAGGCAAAACATTCCCTTAAAATGGACGGTCAGGTGAGATGAGAGTAACAGGAGTCAAGGTCACACCAGGGACGCAACCTCTTCTGATCCCGGCGTCCTCACGCCACGCCCCTCTCTCACTGAAGTGTGGCCCAAGCCCCTCGCCGACCCGAGTGTGGCTGCCCGCGGACGCGCCTTCGGGTTCTCCTGCCTCGAGGAAGAGGGTGAGGCCTGCATCCGCATGGAAGAGCAGGAGGCGACGGTGACCTCCCAACAACGGCACGAATACAGACAGAGGCTCTGGGGAAAGAGGGAGAGGAGAGGGGACCGGACCCACGCCAACAGCATCCCACACCGCCGCACCCCGCGGCGATGGCGCGCGACCCTCGGAGCCTGGAGCGGAGCCGCCGCGCCAGACAGCATCTCAGGAGCTGAGGTCCGGTGCGCAGGAGACGGGGGGGGGCCCTGTGCCTCTCAGTAAGACTCCAGGTCCTGACCAGGAAGATGACCCACCGCCACTAACCAAACGTCTGGTGCTCGGGCGTCAGGGCCCGGTCACCCGCGGGAGGCCTGGGGGACACACACGCCCCCAAACAAAAGCACCGACCGGCCCTGCGCCCGCCCCGGGGCCCGAACGCACCCCACATCGAGGATGACACGAGACTCGTAGCCTTCACAGGCCCCTCCGGGAACCGCTTCGCAGCAGCAACGCTGAGGCTTTGGCCTGCGTCTGCAGCCACGGGGGGAAAAACCACCCTTCCCTGGGCCGGGGGCTGAGGGCACTGCCAGTGCGCTGTGTCCACTGTGTCCGGAGGGACCAGATCCAGGCCCAGCAGTCCTTTCCCCTCCTCCTGTCACTCAAAGCCAGCACTCCCCCAGCGCCGAGCCGCACCCACCCGCCAGGGCTCTCCGGAGTGACAGTGACGCTCGTGCAGACCGCGGTGGCCAGACGGGCGCACTTCTACGGCCCTTTCCACTGTAACTGGGGTGGAGAAGCTCCTCTTCCGGATTGCTATCGATGAGGGCGCAGTCATGAGGACTTCTTGATTACTACATTACGAGGGGAATTGCTCATTTAAAATGGGGAATACTTTAGAGTGAACTTGCAAATTAAATGCACTTTATTATTTTAAAATGTGACTTGAACTTGGCTATATTTAGTTATTTACATTTAACTGTACGGGCTTTCAGAAATACGGCAGTGCACCACCTTGAAATAAGCTCATGCAAATTACGGAACATAAAAGTATGTTCTCATACAAGCCATCACTTCAGCTGTTCATGGAGTTAAAAAGTATATTTGAAATTATTTAGTTTTCTGTTGCTAATCACAGTCATGCTCACAAAATTTATTGGTTCATTAAAAGATAGTGTAAGTATAAGAATTGATTTGTAATAAATTATCATTTTTGCATACATCAGTCAAAGCACAAAGCCTAAATACTTGCAAACAAAATGCATTATTAATTTAATTGTCACAGCCTATTTAGCTAACTTCTATTACTATTTGCTATAATATGCAATGCATAAAAGGCGAGAATCAAATTCAAAACATAAAAAAATAAACTGATTATACTGTCCTGGAGAAATTAAAATATAGCAAGCTTGCAAAATTATAGCCAAGACATTAATGTTTTAAATAGGTAAGAAAAAAATGTGTAACTTAATTTAGGGAACAGTTATGCCTGAAGTGACGGCTCCACATGCTGATAGAGAGTTCCTTTGTTTCCCAGGACCATGAGAAGGCGCCGGTCCCCTCTGCAAGGGATGGAGGGAGGGCGCTGGAGGACAGGAGCCGACTGGCATTCACTGGGCTGGGCTTCGTGACCAAAACCCTGGTCCTCTCCCGCCCTGCACACGGGCTGGGAAACAGTGCCACTGCCGCATCCGAGGTCCTGGCAGGAGGGGAAGGTCCTGTAAACTGGCATCACAGACAAGGGACCTGAAGCTCCGGGCTTCTGGCAGGCAAACAATTCAAACGGTTTAGTTCAAACTCAGGCTACTCAGAAGGTAATCGCCCAGAAGATGGGGTGTAAATTTGCCATTTGATGGTCATTTCCTGATTTTAGGAGAAAACTGGGCCAGTGGTGCCAAAAAGGCTTACCACCTCTCAAAGGGGAGAGAAACAGGGGACCCTCTCCTGCCTCTCCTGAGCCTCCCTCTGCACCTCGGGGTCTGGAACGGAGGCGGACGAGCGAGCCCCCGGTGTGCTCGGGGAAAGACCACGTCCACACTCCGACCGGAAACGGCACAGGGTGCCGACGACTTTTAAGGTGCCTAGAGGATAAGTACGTGCATGAAATGTAACATGATACCTTTGAGTTCCAAATGTGTAACAGTTATATAGCAGGGAAGGAAAAATGTTCTTTTCATTAATGATCTGATCTGGATGGTTTCCATTCAAGTTCATTTACGAATGAAACACTTTAAGTACCTATATGTGAAGATTCTCACTGTGAGACGACACAGTCAGCAGAAGAAAGAGCACTGGGACTGGAGTCAGAAAAGTAACAGTTCCAACACTTACTATGAGATCTTGAAAAAAAATTGTGAATTCCTGAATCACAGTCCTTAGACCTATAAAACTAGAATAATAGTACTCTGTTAAAAAGGTCGTAAAATAATTGAAAAAATGCATGTGAAAGCAATGAGAATCTCATAATTAAAAATGTTTTGTTTCTGCTTTCTTAAACACTTATGAAACATACCTTTGAACTCAGGAAACATAACAGGTCACAAATTGTAATTCAAATAATATGGAATTTTTTTTGAGCCTCAAGAATAACACACTCAGGACCTGACCAACACGCACAGTTGGGCTCACGCTGAATACCACGTGACAGAGAAAAGCACGAGAACCGGAGGTAAAAAGCAGACAGACGTGACCCCCGGAACTCCGGCGTGGGGCCCACGTCCAGACTGCAGCGCGGCGGGAAACTCTACGCCTCGGACAGGAAAGTCGAGTTAAATTCCACATACACACAGAAACCACTTTTAAGTGCTTTTTAAACTTTTTAAAAAGGCAATTAAACATTTAAAATAGGGCAGAAGTGGCCCCAGGCTAGAGCGTGGCAGAAGTTGTTGCAGGATTATTGACAATTTAAAAAAAACACGGAAACAAACCGGTCCCAGGAGTGCCCAGAGTCTCCGAGACCATCCTGGAGGGCGTGAGGAAGAGCTGGGCACCCGTCTTGCAGGGAAGGGGTGGCCCCTGCCCCGCGCGGGGTCTGAGCAGGCCGCACGCCCTGACTTCAGTTAAACTTCGGAGTGGCCCCGAGCACCTGGCAGCTGACAGTACGGCACTTCGCTCACCCAATGTGATCGGCTCGCTGTGACGAAGCTAATTACGATGCCAGGAGCGAGAGCAGGGGAAACCTGGCAGTCGGTGACACGGTAATTGCAGTATTATTGCTCGTGACATGGCAACTCCAGCATCGTTTTGAGGGCGACAAAGATGTATTTCTTAATATCGGCAATGTTTAATTCTACAATGGGAATTTTAAAATGCTATTTCAGAACCTCAAAATTAAAACGCAGGAGAACTAGACAAAGCTTAGTCCTACATATTTATTTGAGCTCAAGCGAGTGTATGTGCGGGGTCAGCCCTCTCATTTAACGCCTCTACTGTTTCAGGCCGTGTTACAAACTCGCACACTCACAATCCCTCAAGCCCTCTCCGGTGCTACGACGACGACAGTGAGTGTGGGAGGGAGGCCAGCGCGAGCCGTGACGCTCAGCCACACAGCGCCGTGGGTGCAGACCGTGTGAGCTGACTTGGAAACATTCTAGAAGTCGCCTTCTGAAACAAACCCTGAAATGAAAACAGGTTGCTAAACTTTTAAAAATGAATGAAAATTACCTTTCTTTCGGGGTGCCAACTCCATGCTTGCCTAGTAGATGAGTATTTAGGTGCTTCTTCATCACAAAAGCAACCCTAAAAAAAAAAAAAACAGTAATTGTAGAACTGAATCTTGAGACTCTGCTAGAATTACAACAAGTATTTAAAAATAGACGTGTGTGTATAGACGTCACATACAAATGCCGTCCCGGCGGCCCCCCTGCCGGACCGAAAGCCCCGTGCCTGCCGGGAGACGCGGGGCGGCGCCCCGAGCACGGAGCCCAGATCCCAGAGGGAAGGGCCGCGCGTGTGCGCGGACCGGCCCGTCCTCCCCATCAGGCACGCTGACGGGGCCCAGACGGCAACTTCGGTCCCCAGCCGTCATCTGCGCTGTCAGTCAGGAAGCCACGAGAAAGCAGTATCTCAGTCTAACGACAGTCCCTGCCCCCTGCTTGCTCCCACACTTCAATCACGAGATGATTTCAGACGACGTCATTTTATTAAATATTTAGGAGCTGTAAAAGACAAGATGAACACAGCCTTCGTGGAGTCTCCTTACACACACAGTAACGCCCTGAGGCCAGGCTGTGTGACAGTGACACCAGCGCTCCCTGCAGCCGCAGCGCCGGCGCGAACGAGGCACTGGGGTGCCCGGGAGACGCCGGGAGGCGGAGGGAGGAGTGGTACCGGACAAGCCCTCTCACTCTGTGCACAGGTCGGCTCACTGAGCCCGGCTCTGCGGCCGGGCGCCCGTCGTCCTTCTAGGGGCTGCGGGCAGCACCGGTTCAGCTCCATCGTGGGACTGCCCTGAACCATTCACATCTCCTTCAGGAGCGCCAGGCTCAAGCGGCTCTCTTCATAAGCAAAAATAAAATAAATAAAAATGTACTATTGTGACTTGCGGTGTAAAAGGGCTCGCAAACATTTTTGTTAATTATGTATTACAGCTGTCCTTCATAAAGTTAATTACTAATAGCTGAGAGGCAACAGCATCTATTTGCATATGTACATGAAAGGCAGGACATGTGCAAAAATATGACTTTAATTAGCGTGCTACGGCATGAAGGACTGCAAATCAAACTGGCATGTTATAAGACTCTTAACATCAAACACGGAGCTCGTCTGGACGCGTGTGCACGACAGGCTATGCGGGGCTGTGCAGCGTGGCAGCCGTCGGAGAGCGGCGCGGGTCGGAAGCCAGGACCGGGGCAGCTTCTGAAACTGCGGCCCGCACTGTCCACGCCGGTTATTTTCACACCTTACCACGGAGCCTCAGTTTTGTGGCTAAAACAACATGTTTGTATTTTTTAAATGACTATGACTTCACTATTCAAATCATCTATTTCTCCCCACTGAAAATAAGTAAGATTTATTCGTTTTCCTCTAACGTGTAATAACTACGGACAATACACGCTTCACAACTATAAACGACTGATCACACCATCAATCATGGAAATGAAAAACTAATTATTACGTTGAGACAAATCACACTGGTAGGATGTTAAAGGCTGGGCCAGAGGATCGGTGCAGAATGTCTGCGTCTGTCCCTGCTTGATTCGGACAAAACAACTAGCATTGCTCATTTCCTTAAAAAAGAAAAAAGTAATAACAGTCCATGCGAGTCATAACTTTCCTGCTGTCCTCTATTTTCTATAATTAAAAAAACATAAAGCTAATAGCGAAGAGCAAAGGTTAAGAACCCAAAGTTGCAAAGCACAGCTTATTTACACGACCAAGTATAATTTAAGACCTGCGCTTAGGAACCGCAGTGCAGTTTTTAAAAGAGTATATATTATTAATTAAAATGTTTAAGTTTCAGGAATTGAAACAAAAATGTGCCACTGCATAGGATAACAAACAAAAGTGCACAGGGAGGGAAGCTCTCACTGATACGACACACTCAGACTATCTGCTGAAGACCTGCAATACCACACTATGTCTTTGAAGGAATAGTTTTCGTTAATATGGACAAAATCTACACAATACTAAAACATACGCAAGTTATAGTCAAATGCAAACTGTCCATTCATCCAAAACCCGACTTCACACAAGTGTTAAGTTGTTCAAATTTGCTCCAACCGAAGCACGAGTGCTGTGCAAGCCTCAGCATCATCTCGGTGAAAAACACGAAGTCGGGCGTGACTGGGCAAAACAAACCCGCCAGCCTGTGCGGACAGAACGCGGGGGGCACCTCGTGACAGCACAGCGCACCCGTCCGCTGCCTTCCTCAGAGCACTGCTCTGAGGTTTTCTACACGCTCGCTGGTTTGGGGAAACCCACAGTCTAGATGCTGGGAGGGAGAAGACAAAATTCATCCCAAATCCGAAAAGCCCAGAGTGGAAACGCCTTGCTCCTCGGGAAGGCTCCTGCCTGCCCACGGTGCCCCCTCCGAGTGCCATGGGCCAGCGTGGGCAGGCTCTGCGGGGCGATGGGAAGTCGGACCGTGGGCCTCCGTGGGGCCGCCCCCAGGCCTGCGGCTCCTCCACAGGCCGGGCGGCCGAGGGCCGCGCGTGCGCACACGTGGGTCCGGGGCTTCAGCCCGGCCCGCACTGCCTGGGAGACGGCTGCAGGGCGGTCCCTGCCTCGTGCCGCATGCAGCCAGTGAGGGAAGCAGACATGACCCCCAAGAGAGCATCTTCAACAGGGACAGGTGGCAGGAGAAGTAACAGGGAAGGAAGACCTCAGGTCGGCAGGGGACCCGCACTTCACGTGTGGGTGGGTCGGGAATGGGACCTGAGAGAGGGCGAGAGGCTGGGCGTGGCCAGGAGCGGGGAGCTGCAACCCACAGAGGGGCACCCCGAGACCTGGGCCGTGAGCCTTCAGGCCTGTTCTCAGCCTGGGAAATGCAGGGCCAGGCGGGCAGAGGGCCGGTGGGCGTAAGGACCTCTTGGGCCCTGAGAGCCCGGCCTGCAGCCCGAGGGCGGGGGCTCTGTGGGCCTCAGAGCAGGGGAGGTGGCTGGTCTCAGGCTGCAGCGGCGGACCCCTCCATGAGAGGGAGGGGAAAGGAGGTGAGGGAGAAAAGTGGGTGTAATAATCACTGTCTCTTGCAATAATCCAGGCAAAGATGATGACAGTGGCTTGGACCAAGGGCTAGCACGAGATCTGGGCAGATTCTAGATATGTCCTTGTGATTAGAGCCAACCAGAGTCCACGCGGGGCGGACGGGGAGCCAGAGAAACCGTCCCAGCTGTGGGCCGGGGCGCGCCGAGCTGCTCGGGAGGACGGCGCCCGTCGTCGTCGGGGACGCGCTGGAGCAGGGAGCCCGGCGGCGTCCGGGAGGGACGGCCGCCGGGAGGCCGTGGACTGGCCTCGAGCTGAGGGGCCGAGCCCAGGCTGGGAACGCACTCGGAGGCCCCGCATCTGGCGAGTGCCTGGGGATCTGGAGGAACACCTTGAAGTAATAAAAAACAGTGTTCCTTAAATATGATTGATTTCCAAGTATCTATAATTGCCTGAAATAGCGTCACTTAAAATTGCTTGAGGTGTCAAAGAGCAGTGCCGTGGTGACATTTACACCTCAGCTACAGACTTCTCCTCCTCAGCACAAAGCTCTCGCATGCTGCGGCCTCGCTTCAAAACCGTTTCCCCACACACTCCCAGGAGTGCAGCGGGAGACCCCTCCCCAGTCCTCAGGGTTTCCCGCCGCGGGATGGCTCCACGGCAGGACCGTGCACGGTTAACCGCCCGCGGCCTCTGCCGCCCACGCCTGTCCCCCGCCCACAGGGGCTCTCCCTCCCACTCGGCCTCACTTCAGGGGCACACGCCCTTCCCAGCCCCCACGCAGAGCCTCCCGGGGACGACTCTCCACCCCCAGCCCCGCTGGGGCCACTGGTTCTCTGCTGAGCTCACGGCACTGGAAACAGGCCTGAGGCCGCGAGCCCCCTGGGGAAGGGCCGCCCGGACAACCTCCCTCCGAAGTAGAGGAAGCTCAACGCCCGAGCACAGAGACGGGGCTGGGAAAGCCAGGGACACCTGGAGCCCCTGGGGCCCAGCTCAGACGCGGCTGGGTCGGCGTGGGACGCGGGGACCAGAGGCAGGGTCGCACTGACTGTGAGCCTTCTGAACCCGCGGCGGGAGGAGCACCCGCGGCAGGCTGCGGCCTGGGCTCTGACCGCCTCTGAGACGGCCGATGTCCCTCGGGCGGCCTGCGGGATCCGACGCCCAGCCACCTGCAGAGGGCTGACGGTCAGGCCAACGGGGCCAGGCGGGAGGAAGGATAGATACGTGTATTTGCCTAAAACCTGACGACAGTAATGCATAAGGCAAAGGAAAACGTCTACAAACAGGTTAACCCGAGACTACGATGGAAACACGCACTCCTCCTGAGCGGCCGGCGCGGCACGGCCGCCCGCGTCCCCAGCGGCCTGTCAGGCCCAGGGCGGGCGAGAGGACCAGGCGGCCGGCGGGCCCCGGCGGCTGCTGCAGCAGCAGGAAGAACGAGGACCGACCGGGCCGCCCACAGGCAGCGAGACCGCCGACCACAGCAGCCCGTGGCCCCAGGGGGCTGCGTGCACAGGCCCGGGCGGCGCACACGCGTGGGGCAGCGGCGTGAAGGTGGCGGCGTCAGGGCCCTGCCTCGGGGACCCGAGCGCCTGAGGGCGGTCTCTGGGCGGCAGTCTCCTCGGGGGGAATGTGAGGGCAGCGGCTCCCCGCCGGCTGCTCCGTGAGGGCGGGGTGAGGCGAGGCACCCAGTGGGGTGGGGGGCTGGGGGGGACGGGGAAGGCACCTCACGCAGCCACGGCCACCGTCAGCACTGTGCTGCGCGTCCTCCAGCCGCGCCTGGACCCAGGGACACCGGCAGGACGCAGGCTCAGGGGCTCGGCTCCAAAAGCCTCCACCCCAAGGGCCAGCCGGTGGCACCGTAAGAGATACGCAGAACCGCTCCGAAGAAACTTCAGGTGGCGTCTGTACGACATCCTGGAAAGGGATCACGAGGCACGGACGGGAGAAACCCAGCACTTCAAACGACACCACCTGCCACATGGACAGCAGTCGGCTCAGGTGTGACAGGGGCCCTGAGCCACTGGAATCAGATGCCTGTCCCTGCGGCCCAAGGTGGGTGCAGGGGGACAGCAGAACAGAGCAAGGGCCCCAAA